CAAATGTGCCAATTCTTGTGGTGCCACTTTTTCTTTTCTGGTGCAAAACCCCACTGTGGCTCCTTTAGTAAATAAAAACACATGCAATTTCACTGTACTGCACTAGAAAATGAGCTGCAAAACCTTAGTAAATATTTCCCTTATGGAGCAACAGCAAACTCAAATGAGGGAGACTAAATTGTGAAACCACTGGAGAAAGGAAGAGAAAAAAGTATTTTCTGCTTTATTTACCAACTCAAAAAAGTAGCTTGAAAGAACAGCACCAAGATGTCAAATGGCAGGCTTATCATCACAATGCAGCACCGGTCTGGTATTGAAAACAAACAATCCAATCGTTATTCCTTAGTCACTGCGTTAGCACCTAAAAATGCCTATTGCTGCCAGAGTAGACTGACGTCGGCTCATTAGGCTTAATGGAGGCACACTGGAATGCAAGGAAAACATCCCATTTAAAGTAAAGTCAATCTAGTGCATCCTGAGATTGGGAGGCTTTGTTTGTTTTTGAATCTCAACTGAGACACAGCAGGATGTCCTTCTGGGAAAACACAGCAGAAAGGGGGGAAATGAAGAGGACAAGAAGCAGGAGGAGAACAGCGTTACAGTGCCAGGAGAAGTGTGGCACAGGGGAGGGTGCACAGGTGTGCAAGCTACTCCCCCTGGGCCTGCAAGTAGAGAAGGCATAGGAATACATAGTTAGGTAACCAGCTAGAGACACGGGTCTGAGAAAGGAATACCCCATGAACAGGCACTGACAGCAGAGCCTTGACACACAGAAATACAGGCTTGTTACAGAAATGTTAACTGCTCCACATGGGGCAAAGATATTCAGGTTAAGGAAAGAAGAGCAAACCCATGGGTACATACTCTAATGTCAAGGGGAAGTATAACAAATTGGGTTGTATTATAAAAACAGATCAAGCTGTGTAGGTGAATATATGAAAGTAAAAAGAAGATGGAAGATAAAGGCTAAAGGTTTGGGGGAGCATAAGGTCTGGAATCCATTAGCTATTCAGCTTATCCCCCAAAATGTGGAGTAAATGCAATGAAGCATTATTATGTGGAACAAATATTTTGGGTTTATTGGAATATAGGTCAGTTTAGGGCCACATTATTTTTCAAAGCATCTTCCATCATGGCAGCAAAATGTTTATCTGATTTTATGGTAAAAAGGGGGTGAAGACTCCAAACCATATTCGGTACAAATCAATCATGTCAACAAACACAAAAGCGGTGAAGGCAGGGAAAGCTCTTCAGATTACAAAAATTACCAAAGAAAATGTACTCGTACCTACTGGAAATGGTCCAATTGGCAACTTTGTACTACAGATAATTAGGGGGCTCAAGTTTATGGAATTTAAATTTTTTAACATTTATACTGAACCTAAATGTCCCCCATATGGTTAATTCATACTGTAGCTTTATTTCTAAAGATCTTTTGAGATTTATGGTGAGTGTACTAAGTTTCAAGTGTCCATGAACCCGAATTGGATGTTCCCTGAAACTTCCACCAACTTCTACCTTCTTCTGTGTGGCATCATGTGTCCATGAGGACTGTTATTTCAAGCTGTCAGTGAGCTTGTTATAAAGACTGAGGAAGTACTTTAGACTCCACAGCAGCCCTCTCAAATGGACACCCCAAGCATCTACTCTGGACAGCCTGTCACTCAACCCCAGTCAAGGAGAAAGAGCAAAGGAAGGACAAATGCCAATGGAAAGACAGTGATACGAGCAAAAACTTTAAGTATCTTCAGGTGTGGAGGGTGACTGAGAAACTGAAAATAAAATTTCTGTTCAAGAAAACGACACACATGGACTATGAAAGAAAAGCAGTAGAGACTACAACAGGGTAGAAATGAAGAGAATTCGGAGAGAGAAACTGCCTGAGGCATTTTAACGTAGTACTGTCAGATGCAGTGTCCTCCAAGGGGCAAACCCAGTGACCTGCAGTGAAAGAGAGCGGTGGGGGGGGTGAGAGGAACTAGAAAGAAGAGGCCGAGTTGGCATTGATGCAGAGCTGGCAGACATGTCACACATAACATCTGGTGCCTGCTGTCCTAAGAGAGATGCCGTATCGTCCACAGATACCCCTGCAGTCCCGCCGCACTGGCCAGGGTTGAGTCACATTCCAGCCTATGAATGATAAGTACTGAGGCAGACGGTGTGACCTGATCAAATGGCACATCGAGAGAGCACGGATCCCTCCTGCAACCAAAATCTGCTTTCAGGTGCTGCCTGCCCAACAAACCCTTCTGTGACTTTCAAAGGGGCACTTAAGAAAAAAACTGCTCAGCTCGGTTCATAATCACGGGGGTAGACGCCCTCAAACACCCATTAGGACATTTTTTTTTTTTTTTTTTTTAAAGAAAGCGATATGTGTGGGTTTTATGTAGCAGCAGGTTGCAGGTGACTCAGTCTCAGGTTTTTCTGTGTGTGTGTGTGTGTGTGTAAGCTATTAGCACTTAGTCACTAGCTCTCACACCACACACACACACACACACCATTAGTCATTGACGAGGACACATTCAGAGCAGAGAGTTGAGTCTCAGAGCAGGAAACATGGGATGTCTTTTAAAAACTCATTCTTTATCTCATCCTGACACTGCGTTCTTTCTTTCCATCTCTGGAGTTCTTAGTTTCTGTAGCCAAAAGACAAAACTGTAGTTGCATCAATCTCAGTGTAGTGATCATGTGAATGTGTCTTTATTTGTGGGTGGTGTTTGTGTGTGAACACTTCTCGGAGCAGATGTTCTGTTCCCCCTCACAGGGTTCATGAGTAGTTAAACAGCCTCTAAGGTGGACCTGAGGTTTTTACTGGAATGTGTTGTTGGGCTCATTTCCTTTATGAGAATCTTTCTCTCTTTGTGAAAGGCAGAAATTTCAGTGACTCATTTCCTATTTCGTTTTATATTCCAAGAATTCCAGCCAAGCTCCTTTCATGGGCCTAATCTAGCTATGGCATCCGCTGCATATCTATTGTTCCCCTGTGGAGTTGACAGCCTCTATCTTATCCTGTCTTTCTTTCCGTCTCAATAACGATTTCCTTTGTGTTCAAGCATTGACTGTCAAAATATGAACAGCCCAAAATCCAATTTGTCATCTCTGCTGGGTGCCTGTCACTTTATCATGCTCACAATTGAATGTCTCTATATTTCAACTCCTTTCCTTTTTCATGTTTCACAGTCTATTTTTCAGAGGACGTAGTACCTCCACAGTACCTTATCATTGCTTCCTCCATCACTTATTCCTATTGGATCCCCGTCTGAAAGTAAAGCCCACTTGACATAACTGACAGTGATTTTGTATCGACGCAAAATGATTTATCAGACAGCCACTTCTGTCTCAATCTGCCTGTGTCTCACCAGTCTGTCTCTCCATTTCTCTAGTATCCCCTTTTCATGGAGCAGCTGGCTGCGGTGTTTGATGGGAGGTTCAAGGAGCAGAAATCACCTGAGTCTATTTGGACACCTGTTCCAGATGAAGTCATCCCAAAGCCAAGGTGCAGATGGCTGTTATCAGTTTATGCACCAGTGTTCAGGTTGAACTAAGGAAACAGTATTATGAACATCTCTTATTTAAGTTAGAACTGATACTGATGTAGAAAGTGTGTTTTGTAGCTAACAAATTATGTCTAGGGTTTAGATTTAATGCAATAATGAATGCAGGAACATTGTTCAATTAGGTGAGAGTTGCCTAGAGGTGGGAAATAGAGTTTATTTTTTTTTAACAAGGATACAACTTGTTCTCTGTCATGTTTTGACCTCGTACAACTATCAATTACTTTCCTTCTTTTGACTAAATCAGACCACTCAGCCTGTCTAGACTGCTTAATTATATAACTATGTTGCATTTTGTCTCTGTATTGTTTCCTAAACTTGAACTTGTTATCTGCAGACCTGGTGGCTGTGCTGTTCAAGGATCTAGGTTTAATTCATCCAACTCATTCCCTGATGAGATGCTTAGCTTCATCAAGACTCATCCACTGATGGATGAAGCCGTCCCGTCGCTCGGACAAAGACCCTGGATAGTTAGAACTATGGTCAGGTGAGACTGAACTCAGACAAGCAGTCAAACACCAACTCTATAATGATGTAGTTGTTTACTTATTTGCAGCAGTATCATAGTGCTACTTGAATCACGTTTCCTATTAGCACTAATGAGGAAACGCTTATAATGAACGCATCTGGAACACATTTGCAAAACAACAGTGATTACAGTGAACATCTCTCTCTACACATTCTATTGTATGGAGTCCTGCTGCTGGCCAGCCACCAGGGGATTAAGGGGACTAGATGTATGTGGAATATTAAACACCTGGCACAACACAGCTTCAGTTCTCATCTACAATAATTACACATACACACAGGATTGTGTGTAGTTCAGCAACACTCTAGTGTTGCCCGTTTTCTTGACTGATATTATTAATGACCAAATGTCTGCTGTAATTAGTTTATTCTATACAGTTTTTTCCTCTGTGGAATTCATTTTATTTTGTTGTGACTCAAGAGAAAATAAAGTAGTAAATTCACAGGAGGCCATATTTTACACCTAATCCAGTCAGTTCTAATGCACTTAAATCATAAACTCAACCTCCACAAGCTACTTCACTTTGCTTTTAGCTTTCACTGAAGAAACGCCCCCAAATGAGCTGCACAGCGCCGTGCCATTATCACACTGTTCTCTTTTTGTGCAGGTACCAGCTGAATAAAATAGTGGTGGATACAGAGGCTGGGCCTTATAGAAACCTAACCGTCTTGTTCCTCGGGTCGAGCAGAGGGACCATCCTCAAGTTCCTCATCATGCCCAACGAAGACAACACAGTCACCAACAGCAACATCTTCCTGGAGGAACTGGAGGGATTCAACCCTGATAAGTATGAAGGGAAATGTTATTCAACAGTTTGGGAAATGTGGTTATTAGCTTTCTTCCTGAGCGTTAAATGAACGCTTTCATATTTGTTTATAAATATGCAGCAAGTTTGCTTAGCTTAACACAAGACACAGGGCTCTAGTCAAAAGTGCTAGCACCTGTAAGGCTCTCTAGCACATTGTACAGAATCTTGTTTATCTAATCCACTTGTAAACTGAGGTGTCAAATTGTCATGGGGTGGGGTGAGGGGGGGCTTGTTTCTTGTGTTATCACTGTGAGGTTGCCTGATGTCTCTATTAATAATCTTTAAAAGTGCTTGTAGGTGGATTTGGCTACTTTTGGACAACCTCTCTGTTTCCAGTCTTTATGTTAATCTGAGTTAACCAGCTTCTCGCAGCACCTGCATATTTATCAGACAAACTTGAGATTAGTATCTTTTCACCTACTTTATACAGTGCCTTGCAAAAGTATTCATACCCCTTGAGCTTGAACACATTTTTTTCACATTACAACCACAAACTTAAATGTATTTTATTGGGATTTTATGTGATAGACCAACAAAAACTATGGCATAATTGTGAAGTGGAAGGAAAATGATACGTGGTGTTCAAGATTTTTTTTACAAATAAAAATCTGAAAAGTGTGGCGTGCCTATGGATTCAGCCCCCTTTACTCTGATATCCCTAAATGAAATCCAGTGCAACCAACTGCCTTCAGAAGTCACCTAATTAGTAAATAGAGTCCACCTGTGTGTAATTCAACCTCAGTATAAATACAGCTGTTCTGTCAAGGCCTCAGAGGTTTGTTAGAGAACATTAGTGAACAAACAGCATCATGAAGACTAAGGAACACACCAGACAGATCAGGGATAAAGTTGTGGAGAAGTT